GCCTTCTCTGCCAGCAGCCGGCAGCCACTGGAAGCCTGGGCTGAGCCATCTCCTTGGTGCAGCTGGAGAGAAGATCTCCAAGCAGTACCTCCCCATGCCAATACTAAGCCACAGAAGGGCCTCTATGTTCTCTAAAAGCCTCTGACCAAAGAGAACCAAAGCACAGTGCAGTCTCCTATCTTTGAGCTGAAGCCAGCCCTGGCTGCAGCTAATGGGAATCTTCCCGTAAGGCTCTGCTTGCTCAGTGCTAGCCTTCTGCTGGGACCAGAACAGTGATTATTCTGATGAGTGGGTCATCTGTACAACATGAAAAGTTATAAACCCCGAGGAGAGATGGCTTTTTTTCATCCAAAATCAATTTTGTTTCTGGAATTGTTTGGTCTGGAGAAGAGGAGGCTCAGGGGAGACCTTATTGCTCTCTACGATTCTCTGAAAGGAGGTGGTGGTGGAGTGGGAGTCAGCCTCTTCTGCAATAGGGTGAGGTGGAACGGCCTCAAGCTGTGCAGGGGGAGGCCACTCCATACAGGTTGGATGTGAGCTGTTGGCTGCTCAGGGTGTGATGGGGTCGCCATCTTTGGAGGCATTCCAGAACAGCGGAGATGTGACTCTGAGGGTGGGCAGTGGGTACGGTGGGGGTGGGTTGGGGATCTCAGAGGACTTTTCCAACTTTAATGACTCTCTGATTCTATGATTCTATTTCACTTTTATGATGGGGTAGATTCCACATTCCTCTGCTGCCAACAGAGCCAAGTTTCACTGGTGCAGACAGACAACAGCTCTCCCCTAGGGACACTACGATATTGATCTCACACAGATTGAGCTCTGAGAACATTTATAGTTCAGTGAACAGCTAGTTGTTCTGTTTTGCACCTAAGGGACAACTGCACTGAGACCCTCGTGATACCAGGCATTGCAGGGTTATCCTCCAGACTCACGGTATCCCTTTTTGAGGGCTGGATGCTCATCTGCCTTGCTGCTGCATGTGTCCTACATACCCAGTGAGGCTGCGGGCAGCTGCTGATTGGGCTTCGCGTCTGAATATAGGAGTTTAATTTAATAGGCAGCTGTTGGAAAAACAAGCAAGAAAGCAACACAATAGGGCTTGATAAGCAGCCTCCAAACAAGCTCCGAGGAGGCAATTACAGGAAAATGGCCGAGCTGCTGCCATGTGGAGGCATGTCCAGGTGCTGGCTGTCCCACAGCTGGCAAACCCTGGCTATGTGTTCCACCACCAGCATTGTGTGGGTAGTGTGTGTACTGGAGGAGGTGGGTGGGCAGGGGTGGGCACTGGGAGAACAGGTAGGATATTAGGGAGGATTTCTTCTCGGAAAGAGTGATGATGTGGTGGCACAGCTGCCCAGGGAGGTGGTGGAGTCATCATCCCTGGTGGTGTTTGAGAACCATGAGCATGTGGCACTGAGGGATGCGGTCAGTGGGCATGGTGGGGGTGGGCTGAGGTTCAGCTTGGGGGTCTTAGAGCTCTCTTCAGCCTTAATGATTCTACAGTTCTCTGATTTTGTGCAGGAAAAAGGTGAATGCAGGAGCATAAGGACAGCTGTGCTGAGCTGGATATGGGGACCATCCCACCAGCATCCTGTCCATAGCATGCAGGATGAGTGAGCATCATGGTCCTTGAATGGTATGGGAAGAGTACAGGGATGTTTTCCAGTAAAATCTCCAGGGCTACTGCATGCCATGTGGACTTCCTTGGGCTTGTATTGCAGCATTGTACTGAATAGCCTGATCCAGTCACCTAGATGAAAAGTGTTCCCTCTCTTTGACTGTTAGCTCTGTGATGAGAACAGAGATCAGAACTGTTCATCTCATTCAAATCAAGAGCGTGTGTAGTCTTTTTTCCTCTTTTCTCATTAACTCCTTTGCTTTCTCGTCTGCTGCTGAGCAAAGAGTTCATTGCTTTCACTGGGTTGCCTATACCAAACCACAGGACCCCGTTGCCACAAGGTGCTGGTGACTCAGAGCACATTGTTATGAGCATGAGGATAGGACTGTTTCCCCCACAGCACATCACTCACATCTATCTCTGCTGAATGCCAGCTGCCATTTTCTCCCTGAGCGTCCCAAGGTGTCCCCAACATGAGTGGAGATGTGGAGCAGCACAGATCCTGCACAGATTTCCACTCTGCTCCCCTGGGTATCCCTTTACCTCTGTCTGTTCCTTATTGTTACTGTCCTTAATTTTTCATGCTCCTTACCCTCTCCAAGAGGGAGGGACAAAGGGTTTTGAAGGAGTCTTTATAAAATCCATGTGCATTATATCCATTTCCAGATCTCTGATGTCCTTCAGCTCTTCGTCTGCTTCCAAGGACTGCAACAGATTTTGTGAGCCATAATTTCCCTCTCCAAAAACTGTGCTGGCTCTTTCCCAACACACTCAGTTTACCCAGCCTTCTGGCACTACCATCAGACTTGCTGCTCCCGATAGCCCTCAACACCTTTCTCCCAGAACGCCCCTAGAATTGCTACCTCCCCTTCCTCCAGCACCAAGAGTTGGAGGTCAGAGAGCCCCAGCATGCTGCAACAAGCACATCAGTGTTAGTGCTTTGGGTTGTCCTGCGCAAAAGCAAGCTGCTGGTGGCAAAAGCATTTTGCTCCACACTTTAGTGGCAGCCCCTAATTATGCTCTTCCTGTAGATTCCCCCCGTTGGCCCTTCCTTTGTCTTAATGTCTATTAGGGCCCATGTGAAAGCAACCTCTGTAATCCCTCGTGGCCTTCAGATCTTCCCATTGGTCTGAAGGGTTGTTGCTGAGAAAAAAAATAATATGATATATAAATAGCTTGACTTCTTATCCAGAAAAGAAATATTTACTTAAGCTATAATGTTACACACTCTTAATTCAATCTTGAGTTTTGATCTGTACCAAAAGCAATAGCAAATCCCCTGGCATGAAGGCAGTGGGAATGCACAGCGTGGTCCTGCGGAGAGGTGATGCCAGTGCCATGCGCAGCCGTCAGGGAAACAGGAACCTTTGGAAAAGTGATTTATGACTTTCCAGCTGGCAGGCAGAGATTTGCACTGCTTGGGAGAATGTTGTCATGCACTGTGAAAGCAGCTGGGGTACGGATCTTGTGTGCCTGTCCTCACCTGTGTCACTGGCCTGGTGACGTTATCTGCAGTGCTCATCTGCTGGTGGGAAGGAGAAGGGATGGAATGGGGTGGGACAATATGGGATGGAACAGAATGGACTGGGATGGGATGGGATGGGATGGGATGGGATAGGATAGGATGGGATAGGATAGGATAGAATGGAATGGCATGGAATAAGATGAAATGGAGTGGAATAGGGTGGGATGGTATGGGATGGAACAGAATGTGATAGAATTGGATGAAATGGGATGGGATAGGATAGGATGGAATGGGATGAAATGAGATGGGATAGAACAGAATGGGATAGCATGGAATAGAGTAGGATGGTATGAGATGGAACAGAATGTAATAGAATTGGATGAAATGGGGTAGGGTGGAATGGGATGGGATGAGATAGGACAGAATGGGATAAAATGGGATGGAATAGAGCAGAACATCCCGTTGTGGGGACTGACTGTCCTCACAGTGAAGGCATTTCTCCTACCGGCCCTTCCGAGCCTCTCCCCGCTCAGCTTTCAGCCCCCCCCCCACGCACTACAACTCCCGGCGGCTCCGGGCCGGGGGGCGCGGCCACGTGACGTCATCGCGCGGGGAGGGGCGGGGCGGTGGAGCGGGGCGGGGCGGGGCGGCCGCGGCCCATTGTGGGCAGGGGCCGGGCGGGCTCCGCTCCGCGCAGCGCCGGCAGGTACCGGGTCCGGGTCCGCTCGGTGAGTGAGCCGCGCCGTGCCGTTCGGCGGGGATCGGGGTCGCTTTGTCCGTTCCGCGGGGATCGAGCCTCCCGCCTATCCCGGCCGTAACCTCCCCTCGAGGCACGCCGGCTGTGGGGTCCCGCGTCGGCGCTGCGGGGCTGCGGGCGGCGGAGCTCGGGCGGGGCCGCGGCGGTGGGAGCGGGGCGGGGGGCTGCGGGACGCGGCGCTGCCTTCTCCATGGCGACGCCGCCCCGTTCGGTTGGATGGAGCCCGGCGGGGGGCGAGCCCCTGCCTGCGGTGGGGGATGGGAGCGCTGGGGGTCCCTGCCCCGCTGTGCCCGGCAGTGACGGGGTAAAAACAGCCGCGTCGCGACGTGGGAGCGGGGATGTGGGGTGTCTCGTAGTGGGGATGGCCGTGTCGGAGGGCGGGGTGGGGCTTTGGGGCTCCGGCACCGGCCGTGCAGCAGCAGGTTGGCTCTGGCAGCGTCTTTATCGGGCGGAGGATCTGGGAGAATGGGGTCAGTGGTGCGGTGGATGACGATGCCCTCGGTGCCGTTCCCGTGGGACAGTCGGCTGCATCGGGTTCCACCCGTGGGAGCTGCGCTGCTCGCAGGCAGCTGTGCTGCCTCACACGCTCGTGTGGAAGGGGCTTTTTGCATCTCTTTTGCGTCAAGGTTAATTGAAGGCAAAGCCAAGCTGGAATCCTCTTGGCTAAAGCCGGGCAGCGTGTGCCTGCCCCAATGCTACGGGACGTAGAGGTGGGGGTGGGAGGGGGCCAGAACCCTGCTGAGTTCACCCAGGCCGGGTACTGCAGATCTCAGTGCCATGCTACCAGCCGGCTTCTTTCTGCTGCACGGATGAGGCTTTTTTCCCTCTCTAGAGGTTGGTCTTGATACTGCACGTAGAACTCAGCAGCGTTCCCTGCTGAGGCCACTTCTGTGAGCTGTGACACCGCTTCATTTTCTTCCCTCAGCCCAGCCATGGGCATCCTGAAGCACTTGGCGTCCCCTGTTTGGAGGGTCCTGCAGGCCCCTTTGCCATTGGCTTCCTTTCCCCACTGACATCCCCTTGGTTAATAAGTGACTCAGGTCCTTGGGGCCGGCACAGCGTGGCCTACAGCCTCCTGTGCACAGGGAGCAAGAGCCAAAGTCCGGGATTCCTGATGGAGCAAGGTGAGACCGCAAGGCGGCAGGAAACAGGGAGGTTTCCTCTTCTTCGTCCTCCTCTTCTTTCTCCTCATCCTCTTCCAGCTAGGTCACTGTGTGCAGCCCTGTGGTGCTTGAGGCTGGCTGCCTCACTGCCTGGCCTCCGCCCCGAGCTGGCAAACAAGATGGATGAGGTGTAAGAGTAGCACCGAATCTGCTGCCCTGGGCTGGAAGTGGAGTCGGACCAGTCCTGACCTGAGCCAGCGCCTTATCTGACCCTTTGTTTTTGGGAGGCAGCAGGAAGGGCTCTGTAGATGGGATGGCCGTTAGAACCGGGTCATGGTTATCTCCTCCTGCTTCTGTTCTTTGTTTTGGCTTCTTGCCCGTCTCCTCCTGAGCTGCGTCATGTATTCCTTTGTGGGTGTCATGTACCTGCTGTCCCCAGGTCCCCTCACTCCATTCTATGGTCTCCACACCTCTGTCGCTGGCACTGCTTCACTGCCAGCCTCAATGCCACTGAAGTCCAGTGCGAGGGGCAGGCTGCAGCGAGCCAGGCAAATGTCAGTGCAACGACGCCTTTAGCTAACCAGCAGCCACTAGTTTTCTTTTTAAAAGAGATGTTTTGGGGGGTCCCACCTGAACTAAGGCTGCCCTGGGAGGTGGTGAGATCGCTGTCGTTGGAGGCGCTCAGCGACCACAGTGATGTGGCACTGAGAGGCATGGTCAGTGGGCATGGTGGGGGTGAGCTTGGGGACCTCACGGTTCTTTTCCAACCTGAATAATTCTGTTATTCTGAGGGAGCAGCCCTTGCATTGACCCTGCTTGCTGGGTTTATAGTGGCACAAAAAGCAGCTTACCTACTGCATTTACAACCCAAAGGTAGCTGCTGGTGATGCAGGCGGACACACCACGTAGGGCGGGTGGTCTTCTGTGCCGATACGTGCCGAGCTGCTGCTGCACGGCTGCTTTTATCTCTGAAGTATTAATAAATGTGGCTCGCTATTTATATGGGTCTTTTTAAGAGCCTGGCGGGGCTGCCTGGAAGGCTCGCGCGGCACTGCAAGCATTCGGGGCTTTTTGTGCGTGCTTCAGCAGTAGATAAGCAAGGGCATCCAGCTGTCAGCTTTGGAGATTGCCAAAGCCTGCTCAACGGGATTTCTGCAGGCTTTTCTCACAAACGAGGATTTTGTTAGGTGCTTCAGTTTCTGACTCGATGCTGGTAATCAAATATCTCAACTTGGCTTCGGGAGGCTGCTGCAGATTGAGTGGTGAGGCTGTGCAGAGCAGGGCGAGCTTGTTGTGCTGTAATTGAGAGGGGCTTAACGTTGGTGCTTCAGCCTGCATTTTCTTTTTGTTTTAAATGCTTATCTTTCTATCAGCAATTCTTTAAAAAAGGGGCAAAAAATCTTTCATTTTGCTGCTGTCCTACTAAGCTTGCATCGAGCTGCTGGGACAGCTGTTCTGTTGCAAGCTGTGATAGCGGAGTGCTGTAAAATTCAAATTGTGTGGGTATTGATTTCTTTTTCCTCTCTTTGAGATAACAATATGTGTACTTTTCACCTCTGCACAAAGACAAACATCGGCGCTGTGCTGAGAAAGAGCAGATCTGAATGAAGACCTGAAGGTTAGAGAAGAATTACTGAGCGTCTGACCCTAACTTCTGCATTGGTTAAATCTATATGGCTTAGCGTGTAGATTACTTACTCTACATGCTTCCCATACTAGGGGATAGGAAAAACAACTAATGAAGGTTTGGAAAGCAGTTCCATGTGCCAGCAGTGGCTTTTTTGCATATTGCATGAGCTCTGCTCTGCACGTCAGCCCCAAATGACTTATTTCTTGCATTAAGTAGGAAGTTGGAAATAGAAAGTTTGTACCCTGCTGTGATTTACCCTTGTGTTTTTTGTTGTTTTTTTTTGTTGTTGTTGTTTTCCCCTGCTGCCCTCTCTCTGAGCCGGGCTGGGAAGGAAGCTGTGCTGGTGCTGCCTTACCCCTGTCCCACTGGGAGATGAGCTGTGCTCCGTCCCTCCTGTCCCTGTGCGTTGCAGCCTTTTGGAATATGTTGAAGAACCAGAAGTTCTGGGGTGGCGTGGAAAATGTCAGCTCAGTGAGTCATAAAACTTTCAAATCTTTGTGTGGCCTTTGAGGAAATAAAAAAAAAAAAACAAAAGCAAAGCAGGTGGGGATGAGGAGCAGCTTGACACCCCATAGCTACCTAGTTGGTTGAGTAGAGACTTTGGTGATGTGAGCTGACAGGGTTTGCTCTGTGAGCGGCGTGGCCTGAAAACCAGCCCCTGAAATTGCAGCAAAGCAAAATAATGCACGACATTACGAGTGCATTCCTGTTGGTGAAGCCAGGTGGAGTTGTCCTCTGCGATGCCCCATCCCATGTGAATCGCCCATCGCCATGCTTTGTTAATGCTTCCTCCATTGCTGGGCCCCCAGCCTCCGCCTTTTGTTTCCAATTTGCAAAATGGAAGAGCTGCGTGCTGCTGGGAGCACCTGCACCAGAAAGTCACTTCCTATATCAGCAAAGTGGATGGGGTGGCCCAACCTGGTGGTGCTCACAGGTGAGTCACTGTTGTGAGTCACTCGGTTACACATAAATTACTGCCTTTTGACTGAATTGCATTGATAATCAGTGCGAAACATTGCTGCTGGAGGTGGAGTGGCGTGGACCTTGCCACAGGTCTGTCACCGTGACAGAGCTGGTGGCAAGCATTAGTTAGCCCATCAGAGCTCAGTTCTGGTGCTCGTTTGTGTCTTCCTGAAGGCTGGCTTGGTTGGTTTGCTGCCATTTGGATGGTTTTAAGTTGTTCTGCAGCTCTCAGTCTGAACCCTTCCTAACTTGGTGCTGAGGACATACAGTAGTAGGGCTGAGAGTTGTTGGTTGGACGCATCTTCAGATCCCTGAGCCTGCCCTCGCCACGGCTGAGCGCCAGGGCTGTGCGTGTCTCCTGCAGGGCTCCTCGCTGTGCCAGACAAGTGGCTTCATGTTGCTCCTCCTGCATTCCTTCGGCGAGCGTTGCTCAGCTATGCACTCCCAGCTACGTGCTGCTCACCTGAATCACGTCTTCGTGTGTGTGCACAGCTTCACCACCCAAAAAGCCCAGGCTGTGCCTCTTTGGGCTGCTCTGGTCAAGTTCAGGCATTTTTACCAGAGGGTGAATGAAATAGTGCTCGAAGGGCATGGTGGGAGAGCAGCAGGAGTGCCTTGGTGCAGGGGCTGCTCCTGAGCTCTCAGGCTGACATCTTGCCATCAGATTCATCTGCAAGAGCTGGTCCAAGCCACCCATTCCCCAGGGCTTGGGATGTTCCAGACTGGGATTCCTTGTTCCTCATTGCACTGGCAAAGCCCCAGCTGGAAATTTGTCATGCAAAGCTCAAAACCCGTGTGTGTATGTACATGCATAGCGGTGACATGAAGAGAGCAGAAACACCCAATTAACTCCTTAGACGTATGCCCATCCCTGGGGATGTGCATGGCACGGTGGGACCTCTGGGTGCTCCCAGTGCCACTTTCCTGTCCTTTTCTCACAGTGTGCATTGGGTTTGGGTACATCTGCCCGGGCTGCACTGCTCACAGGCTGATGTCAGGGGTTTTTGCATGGAATATTAGCAGCTGGCTTTTGTACCAATATGCAAAGCTGAGCTATGTTTGACAGTTTTTGGGAAGTCACTGGTAGAGGGTGGATTCTTTCACTGCATTAGAGGAGATGGGATTGCTGGCCCAGGGGAAGTCTTGTGGGCACATGGAGCATCAGCAGTGCTGAGCTTTAGGGAGTGGGCTGTCAAAAGCAGCAAAAATGCCCGCACACTTCTTGGAGAGCAGCAAAGCTACAACCTTGCTTGGCTGCACATCTCAGGTCTGGGGAGGTGGCACTGCTGGAGCTCCAGGGCTGTGCTCTGCACCCATCTTTGTAATGCTTGGGCCGAAGGGTGGGACAGTGCTTGTCCTAAAAAGCTGCAGCATGAGATCAGGGGGTGCAGGAGTCAGTTTACTGTACCCCAAAGCAACACTGTGAACTGGACTCCTAATGCAGCATGGCCATGTGCTTTTTAGCTTTTTCTGGATGCCTTCTCCTTGCTTGGCTTCAGCATCTTCTAGGAGAACCAAGCTGTGGACTCTTGCGTGCCGTCCCGGAGAGCTGTGGTAGCTGAGGTCCAGTGCAGCTGTTTCCTTTGAGGACGTCTGTAAGTGGCTGTGAAGCTGTTTGTGTAAAGCTCTTTCCCTGCTGAGAGCCCTTTGGCTATTTGGTGATTCCAGCTGCACTGTGGGGTTGGCCCCTTGGCGCCTGGCTTCTGTGCCCCTGTGCTGCTTGAGGTTGGCTGGACTTGGGTTTTGCAGCTGGCTTTGGGGCTTCTCCCATTGCCATCCCTGCTTGTGCATGGAGGTGTTGATGGGGCCAGGCTCTCAGGGCATGATCCCGTATGATGCTTGGTGATGCCAGCTGGGCAGCAGAAAAGCTGAACTTGCAAATCTGCTCCGGTAAGTCACGCCAAGGACTGTTTGAACTGCTGTAATCCCCAGTGCCTCCTGAGCAACCCTGTTTACAAGAGGCGGTGCTTCCGACCCCTGTCCTCACGGCTGTACGTCACTCGTTTGCTTAGTGAAACTCCATGGCTGAGGTTGGTGGGAGAGCTGACACTGCGCTCCTTCCTCACCACCCCCTTGTTATGGACGCATCCTGCAGAGCGGCTGGAGGCTCTCTGGGGACACCTCGGTTCCATTTTCAGACTACAGCTCCTTTTATCTCCTGTGGAGACCGCTGTCTGGCACATCGCACGTGAAATCGCCGCTGGCTCCGGAGCCCTGGGAAGCCTCTACCCATCACACAGAGCAAAAAAGATGTCAAGGAAAATTTTTGGAGCGTGCTAAATGTCCTTATTCCTACAGACAGTTTACTTTGGGTTCTGGAGTTGGAAGGGAGTCTTTACGCTCGTGGTTTTCTCACGTTTACTTTTGTGCTGAGTGCTGCTCTTCTGCTCACTGAGGTCAATGTTCTGACATTTCTAATCATGGTGATAGTTCAGGCTGCAGCGACGTGCCGTGGGCTGCACTGTGGATTGTACAGGCAAGAAACTGTGGGGTCCATGAAATACAGTCTGCCTGTTTTTGAACCCATCCTATGGGCTGACAGGTTTCAGCATGAGAAGAAGAGGACAGAGGGCCTTAACCCATGTAACTTGGTTGCCTCTTGTTCTGTTTCTGTTTTGTTTCACTGTGACCTTGGAGAGAGAATGCATCTGTGGGGTCTGCAATCTCTATGCCACAGGGTGTGGAGCAACTGTGGTGCTGGGGACCCAAAGGGCTGAGCTCTGGCTGTCGTGAGCAGGGAGATGACTCTATGAATCCATTTCATGGATTGCTCATTTTTTCCAAGGGGAGAAAAAGCCTGCAAACACTTTATGGTGGGTGCCAGGCCCCAGCGCACTGTGGCATAGTGACCTCGCATCTGCCTTGGGTACAGCTTTGCCCACCCAGCAGAACTGGCCGGGATCCCAAAAAACAAACAGGCCTCCTGTGCTGGGCTGCTGCACAGGGAGGCTTTCAGCACAGAGCCTTTCAGCACTTTGCTACCTGCACTGCTGCCAATGCTGCTCGGCTCACCCCAAGCCTACTGAAAGCCCATGGGATTGACTCTTCCCCTTCCTCCTCCCGCTTCCTTTCCCCCCCTTCTCTTGGTTTTCAACACTAGATACTTGAATAAATCATTGAGGATGTGATCACACAGGAAACCTGCTTTTTTTTAATTTTTTTCTTTTTTTTTTTTTTTCAGCGGGGTTAGGAAGTGAATTCAGCTCTCCAGGGTTTCAGTCCTGTGCTTTTCAATCACAAGGTTCTTCATGCTTTCGACTCCGTTGCTCTTGAAATGACGTGTCCTCAGCTGCTTTTCCCTTTGCTACTGCAGACCTGCAGAAACAATAGCGCCTGGAAACGCTCTTCAAGAAACTGAAATGGATGGTGCTGATGTGTGCAGCAAGAGGGAGAATGCACATTTGATCTGCTTTACGTCTTTATTTGTTGCCTTGTTTACTACTAGGTTTTTCTTTGCTTCAATGGAGAGCAAAGCCCTTGTTCCTGCGGAATTCACAGCTTCTAATTTGCTCCTTGTTAGAAGTAGTGCCCCAAATCCCGCATTCCTTTGTGCGTCTTGTCTTTTTTTCCCCCCTTTTTCTTTGTCAGTGGGGGCTTATGGAGTATAATGCGCAGATTAGCAACTGTATTTGTGGAGTAACCCATCTTTGTGCAGGTCTGGCTGGAAACCAATTAAGCTTGTCTTGATCTCTAAATGAGATTTTTGTTGAACATCTTACCCAACCGCCTTTTACATCCATTAATAGCGGGTGGGATTAAAATAGCTGAACGTGTAGAGATCGCGTGTTGGATAAACAGAAAGCGTTGGTTGCAGGGAAGTTCCCGGGGATGTGTGCAAACCGGTGCCTCTTTGTTCTGTGCTTTTGTAGCTCTGCTCGTCGAAACCTGGCGTGAAGTACGTCTGGCTATGGGCGTGCAGAGCCTGGTGGTAGGGGATGCAGTGCAGGGGCAGATGCGTGGTGAACAAATGGGAAGCTTTCCATGAGTTTCCCCATCGCTCTGGGTGACGATGAGACTCTGCTGCCTTCAGGTCTCTGCAGGTGCTTTGGTGCTCCCTGGTCCCAGCGTTGCTTTTTTTTTGTTTAGCCTGGGAAGAATCACACTGGTTTTCCAGTTATGGGTGGCAGCTGACGTGTCCCTGCAGCCCTGCCTCCATCGGGTTTATCTAAGCTGCTGCAGTGAAAACCCAGCCTGGAACGGCATTTCAGTGCATTGTTTTTGAAGAAAACCGGCTAAATAAAGACGCCTTTAATAAACCGTGCCTTCAGGGAACCCTTGTATCTCATCCCAGGCTGTTTCTGTGTTGAGATAAGATTGTGGAGCAGCTGGATTTGTACTCTGCTCGGATGAAGGGCTGTGGGCTGTTTTCAGGGTGCAGACATTCATTCTTTCTTTTGTTTATTTGTAAAGCAACTGCAGAGAAGCAGTGTGAAACCCAGCATCTTCTCTGGCGACCACTGGGTTTCCCTGATGTGCTCAAACAGTAAGAAGCGCTGCCCAAAGGGAAGGAGGGAACTAAAACTTCATGTTAACTGTGCTCCCTTTAATTTTTCCCTATCACAACCCTCCTGATTGCCATCCAACCACATCACCAGCCTGGCATACCGAAGCCCTTGGCACCATATTGAAGAGGACAGTTGTCTCAATGAGGGGACAGCCATCGTCTTTGGTGTGGCACTCTCAGTGTGACTAAACCCAAAACCTCATGAAAAAAAAAAAAAACAGCATAAAGTGTAAGATGAATGATGGTTTTGTTTCTTACGTGTTCTCTGATAGGGCATGAGGTGGGACCTTGCAGGTGCTGCATGGTGACATGATGTGATGTGACAGGTGATGTGGTTTCCTGGGAGGAAGGTATGAAAATAAGCCTGTCTTCAGCCTTGTTTGCGTGTTATCCTGCTGTCCTGTCCCCTTACTCTTTCTTCCTCAAAGCTGAAGAGCTGTGGAGGTGTCCCTCATCCCAGCATCCAGAAGGGTGACACAAACCCTAGTGAGGCTGTGCCGTGCCTGAAGTGTGGAGAACCCATTGAGCCAACTTCACCATTTCCTCCTGTGTTTCCCCTTCCAAAGCTTTGCAGGAGCTGTTCTCTCCCTCCTCCTGGGGCCAGAATTGCAGAGCTATAAAGGAACATTTGTGTAGGACATGGTTGCTATTGGACATGAGCTCGTGGTGTAACCAGGCTGAGTGCTAAGCTGCTGCTGACCCAAACTTTCTCTTCCATTTCAGTTAAATATACCCTTGAAGGTGTGGTTACTAAAACTAGCTTCAATTTTGGTTATGCAAAACAGGCAAATGCAGCTCCAAACCAACCCAGGAGGAAAGTCTCATGCCCATCCGAGGGTCAGAGCACCCCATGGCCAAGTCCTGTATTATTGCCTCTTGTTGGCCCATGTCTGGCCTGTGCTGGCCACCAAGATGTGGCATGGTCGCTGCAAGGCCACCTCTAGCTTTGAGTGAGGTGGGTTTTGGAAAGCTATTGATCTTGTAGCCATAAGCTGTTGCAGCCTTCAGAATAGCCAAGAAAACCGCTCATCAGGAGAGCTGTAATGAAACAGTAGCTTCAAGGTCTGTGATCAGAGAATCACAGAATTGTTTGAGTTGGAAGGGGCTTTAATGGCCGCCTGGACCAATTCCCCTGCACTGAGCAGGGACACCCACAGCTCCATCAGGTGCTCAGAGCCCCGTCCAGCCTGACCTTGGGTGTCTGCAGGGATGGGGCACCCACCAGCCCTCCGGGCAACCTGTGCCAGAGCTGCACTATCTTTACTTAAAAACAAAACAAAACATCTTTCATGTATCCAGTATAAATCTTCCCTCTTTAAATGGTGGAAGCATCTTGTGAGATGGAGGCCAATGAGCTGTGTGTGATTTGTGCCCATATTTGCTGTGTGTTGGTGCTTCTCTTTGCAGTGCAGTTTGCCGTTTGTTATCTGCAATCTGTGACCATGCTTATCCTTGGGCAGCCAGAGCCAGCCCTTATTTACACAAATGCTGGCCCTCGAGCAACATGGGTTGATGTAAGGAATAGAAACATATATAAATAGAAGAAATATATGTATGTTGTGGTACTTACATGAACCAGCTGGTGACCTGAATGGAGGGGAGGGTGTTATCCTTGACTTGGCTCACGTACAGGTAGGAGAGATGAATTATAAGCAAGGAGATGAGCTTTCCTCTTGAAAGGCTTGAGTTCTTTGGTTGTGCATGTTTGTTAGTTAAGAGGACCAGGGGACAGCTTTCTGAGTGCAGCATGGTTTGTGCCTTGCAGGTGCCTCGAGTAGAGCAGCTTGTGGCCAAAATGCCATGAGATGGGGGGTTGGCCCCACGCTCTTGTTATCTCGTGCTGGCTGGCATGTGGGCAGGATGGTGTGGATATCCCAGCACTGGTCTCCTGTGCATGCAGGATGCTTCACTGCAGAATTCACTGCTCTGTGTTAAATGTGCACAGATAATTGCAATTTTAATATCCCCAGCAGGGAAATTTGTTAGAGGGGAAGGCTTTCCTGCAACACTTGTGGAGGAACGATCCTGCAGGGTGACATCCATCATTCCTTCCCCTTTTTGCTACTTGTTTCAAAAATAGATCTCAAATGGATGCTGATTTAAAAACTGGCAGATGATCTGAAAATAGGGAGCTTGGTAAATGATTCCAGAAGGCGATTTGAAGCAATGGCAGCAATTTGAGTCTTAATAAGCTGTGCTTGCTCCTACAAAAGGCAGCTTCACCTTGCTGCATCTGCTTTGTCCTCATGTCGATGTCCTGGGTCCAGCCTGGCTGCCCATTGAGCCCTGATAGCAACGTCTTGTTTTAAAGCATGTTTTCCCTTGTAGGAGTGGACTGAAGCTCTTGCAGTGCCGCTGTTAGGTAGCCCTCATTTTGTTTTGTCCTGATGATCTGAGTGAAATAATTCATAAGGACGTTTTCCACAAATCGATAAATCCATCCTTGCCTCTGTGCCTGGGAGGTTTGCTTTGCTCTAGATACTGAGCATCTCTCCATCCCAAACAGTCCTGCAAAACCCTGCTCTTCAGAGTGAAATAGCTGTTCTAGGTACGCCTGTGGAGCTTGAGGAATTTGTCCCCATGCCAAGCAATTCCTGATGTTACAAGTCTCGGGGAAACTGATGCCAAAAATGAAGGGGGGAGGGAGCGGTTGCTTTTTGAAGGGAACTGGGAGCAGGAATCTCAGTTACAGGTAAATCTGACTTTCGGATCTCAACTTGGCATTTCCTGTTGGGAGGAATTGGAAAATTCCTGTTGCACCACACCACATCCCCTTCTGAAAACCGCTCCTGCAAACTGGGGAGTGTGCGTCTTTTGAAAGCGATATGTGCATGTTTGCATAAGGAGCCTGCCAAATGGGACCTGCCTGGAAAAAGAGGGTTTGAAAACACAGCTTTGCTACAGGTGAAGAAGTCAAAGATAACACCGCCATCTCCAAACCTGAGCTTGTTTGGTGTTCTCTGAGCACTGTGATCCTGCAGGGATGGAGCAGCGGCTAGAGCTGTGGCATCACTAAGGTTGGAAAAGACCTCCAAGATCCCCAAGGAGGGATCTTCTGCCCTATCCTCGTGGTGGTTTGAGCTCCTTGGCACTGGTGTTTGGGATCCAGAGACGTTCCCACAGCCAAAACTCACCGTGGCGAACGGGTGTGCACGTGGGCTCTGGCTCTGATTTCCTTCATTGCTGCAGAGAGCAGCTGAACGACACACGATGTTTCAGCAGGACGTCCCCTCTTTTGTTCTTCCATATTAGAAAAGTCTGTGCGTGTGTTTGTATTTAAAATAGATGTGTGCTTCACATCACTGTTTGTGAGCTGTGCCACTTGGGATGTGGCCCAGCGGTGCTGGGTAGGGGCGCAGCATTACCATGCCCCCTGCAAACCAGAGCGGCCCTATGAAATTGTCATTTCAAATAAATGCCACAATGGTTTCTCCTCCTCGTCCTCCCCCTGTTCCTGTGTTCTTCCCCTAGCACCGTGTCCCTCCCCACCCACCAACCCAAGGCTGGGGGGGGATCTGATTGGGATTTATGTTAAAAGGCTCATTTTATGTGTGTAATTAAAAAGTGCTATTGCTGGGTAGAAATGGGATTTGATGCTTACTGCTGTGACTCTTTCTCATGCGTTAGGGTGAACTGATTGATTACTGAGGTTTGAGATTAAATATTCCCCTGAGGTCTGCTGGTATTTAATGCGGTAGGAGGAGGGCAGAGAGGAAGGGGGAAGGAAAGCAATGTTTTTCCACCAAGGCGAGGAGAGCAGAGCAACATCTGCTGTGAGCATCCCCTTGCCTTGTTCTGGGTGCAGTATCTGCTGTAGCAGAGGCTCCCAGCACCTGGGACCAGGATAAATCAGGCCCATGGTGGCAGAGGAGCTGCTGGTGGGATGTGCTGCTGCTTCTCCCTGTTGTATTGAGCATCCCATCGCACATCCCTCGTCACACCACATCCCATCCAGGCAGCAAGACGGAACTCCCACCCCCTCCCTTTCCCCCAGCAGCACGCCTCAGTTATTACCTTTTAATTCAGGAAAGCTCTATTTTCAGTTTCGATGGCCTTTAGGAGATAAAAAGCCCAATATGCCACTCCAAAGCGAGTAGTGGGAGTGTCGTTGTGCAAGCACACATTGGGGCAACCCGTGTTTACCTGCTTTGCTTCCCTTGATGTCTAATTTTAGCTGATGGTGACGGGTCCCTCCAGGGTACTGTAGAGGTTTCCTATTGGTGTGGACTTCAAGAAACACGCATACAAACAAAAAACACTTGCGTTTATTCTGGTGAATTCTTTTGGAAAGGGTGTGACTTATTTTTGTGAGCAGCCCGGGCACACACTGGCTTTGTTCTGCTGCAGTCTGGCTGGGTCGGTTATTTCAGGTCTTCCAAGATGTAATCAGAATAATTAGTTACTGTCTGTTTATACCTTCTGTTTTTGTTGCAGGGTTTCCAAAGGGCGTATTTGTATTTCTGAGCACTGCCTAAGTGTCGCTTAATCATTAAGCATCTGATTTCCTCCAAGTTATCTGTCATGCTGCTTGTGTAAGTACATCATAAAAAATATTGGGGGTGGATGCTGTGTGGGGGGGGAGGGTGAGATGGAAGGATTTTCCTTGGTTATCACCAGTTTAAGTGAGTGCTGTGTTTGCTTCCCAGCCCCTTGTGCAATGATCAGAGTACTGCCTGTTTTGATTGGCGCTTAACGAACCAGCCAGCTTAATGAGCTTGCTTTCAGCCAAGTATTCATGTATACCCCGGTTAACTGGCAGGATCTGTTACTTGGTGTCGTTTTGGAGAAATAAAGGGCTTTTGCTTTCCTTGTACAGTTCCACCTTTGACTCCTTAATTCAGTGGTATTCCTTATAAAAAACAGAGTTCTACTTGGACATAAATTACTGCTCTAAGTTTGCCAGGACTCGTAGTAAAGTTGGTTTTTCTTTGCGTGTTGGGTTTTGGAAGGGAGGACAGTGTATCAATTTCCCCCCTCCATAATGCAAGAGGGGCACAGAAAAACGCTGCTAAACAGGAAGAGGGCAAGAAAACCTGGCCACGAGGCAGGTATGGTGCTGGAGCCTTGCCTCATGCATGCACGGAGCCTAAATCAATAACGTGACTTTTTTCCTTTCATGTTTATCACTATGGTCCCAAGAGCAGCTTGTGCAGAAGGGCCAGAGTGATGTGGGGCAGACAGGGCTGGCAGCAGCCCAGAGGACAACGTACTGGGCTCAGTAATTTGCCTTTTGCTCTTGGTTTTACTTTCTTGGGAGACTGTGCCAGCGGTCAGGGGCTGCAGTGCTGGCTCATCGGCCGTGTAATTTATCGCGTCAGATAGCCCGTGTGCGAACCTTTGGGGCGTGGGCACGCTGCTGCTGGTGATGGATGTGCTCCTGCAGCCTTCTAAAGCCAGGAGCTGCCATTACGATCAGCTCCTCCGTTTGCCCGTGTGATGCACACCATAAATTTTCTCTGGCTAGCTTCTGTCCTGAGGTCAGTAACTGCGCTTTAATTAGCTCCTGTCAAGCATTATGGATGTGCGGTGTGGCTGCGCTCGCTGCCTTCCCATGAAAGGAAGGGGCTGATGCGAGTGTGAATTGGGGCCATCAGCATCTACTCAGCTTCAGGAGATCAAGCAAAACGTGCACATGGGGGGTCAGAGCTCAAAATCTATCTCCTTTCCATGGTAATCCTTTGAATATAAAGAAGAAAATTGTCACAGTTAGGAGTGGTGAGACGCTGGCACTGCTGCCCAGAGGAGCTGTGAGTGCCCCATCCCTGGCAGTGCTCATGGCCAGGTTGGATGAGTTTAAGTGGACTTTAAGGTCCCTTCCCACCTAAACCATTCTGTGATTTCAGATGACACTTCCCAAAGCTCCTGCGATGTTCAGTGTGTAGTGCTGCTGTTGGCCCCCCAGAAGTCAGTGAGGATGAAGAGTCTTTAAGCACCGTCCTCTCCATGCCTGCCTGTGGCTAACCCAGGTCTGCTCTGATGACATTTGGGAAGAGGTCAGGCTGATACTGGGATCAAAAAAAGGCAACTTATCTTGTGTTACTGCTGTAGAAGCTGCTTAGCCGAGCGAAACATTCACTGGAGAGAATGGAAGATGTGATGGAGGATGCGGAAGGCAAACATGGATTGCAGGATGAGGATGCAGAGGATGTTTGCCTTCCAAAATCCTCCATCTCAGTCGAGGATGGAGAATATCCCCATGCTTCATGGCCATCACTGGGAGAACAGACCATGTCCTCTCATGTAGCCTGCCTGTGTGCAGGCTGACCGCCAGCCACTTCCAGATGTGGGGGGAAGGACTGGGACACGCACACCCCGTTTTCCTCATAAAACTCCAAACAAGAGGCTTGGCCTGGTTTAGATTTTAAAAATAACTTGCACATTTGGAAGCTAAAGTTTCAGAAGGGCTCCGAACGGGATAATGGCTTTGATCGTGGCAGCCTGAGATCAAGGGGGGGGGGATTTTAGGTTTGCTGCATCAGATGGAAAATATATTGTGGTGTCTAGACTTTATCATCCTTGAGCAAGGCTTTTTTCTATTCTACAGAAGATCTAATCCAAAGCCCAAGTACAGTTGATAGAGTTCCAAAGCAGCGTGCTTTGGGGCTTGATTGTGTCCAGAAGCGAGTTGAAAGAGGTGCATTCACTGACATCTTGAATATCCATGTGGCAGTCAAGCTCTCTCATGCTGGAAGGTGCCCTACTGAGGAAGCTGTGACAATTTTCCTTTGAAATGCTGTGTTTTCATCGTAGAATCATGGAATGGGCTTGGGTTGGAGAGATCGTTGGGTTGAAGGTCATGTAGTTCCAGCTTCCCTGTTGTGGGCAGGATTGCCAGCCACTAAATCGGGCACTAGATCAGGTTTCCTGGGGCCCCATCCAACTCAGCCTTGTGTTTTCTACCCAAGAGTTTTGGGTGTTCTTTGGCAAACGTGTTGCCAAAAAGGCATTGCCAGCCATCCCAGTGCATGGCCCCGAAGCTGAAATGCATCCTGAGCTGCAAATGTTGCTCCAGGCTCTGATGGTGTTGCAGCTTAGCTGTGAAAAGGTTCGACTGGAAATTTGGGAAAACATTTGGAAATGTTTTGGAAAACATTTGAATTGAGGATGTCGTGTCTGGTTGTTTTCCCTTGCTTTTTCTTTGTGAGAGTGAGAAAACTGCTGTTGTGTTTCTGTTTTTTGTTGCCATCAATTACTTTTTTAGACATATTTATTTCTGAGCATAAGTCAGAGCGAATGCCAGCCTGTAAACAGTTTGTAGCATAACACTGTAATGGAATCAGGACAGAAGGGACCACGAGGTGTTGCTTTGTCCCCGAGGCAGGACAGGTATATCTACTCACTGAACTGGAAGGCGATGGCATTTGTTGAGAGTTGTTTTCTCATAAATAATGTAAGGAGCAAGGGCAGAAATCTATCAAATAATGCTGTCAGGCTGTGTGAGAGAGCCCTTCTCAGCTTATTCAAATCATTTGCTGAATAGGTGTGAAAATGAATGCTGGGTTTGTTCCCAGAGCCACTCAGAATGATATTCCAGAGTAATATTTTCGGCCTTGGCATTTGCCAGAATGCTGTGACTTCCACAGATGAAGGTGCTTTTACCTACAGCCTGTATCCACTGTGGAATTGTCCCTATGTCACCCAGTGACTGAGATGACCGGACCCCAGAAGCCCTGCTGGGATGCAGTATGGTTTTGCTTTGTTTCTTGTGAAGTAGATTTGTATGTTCAGAATTAAAGCTCTTCTCCAGATGGTAAAAAGAATCAAATCCCCCAAACCCATCTGACAGCACAGGTAGTTGGTGTGTGCTGGGCTTGCATCCTCAGCTAGCTGCAATGCTAAGCTCCTAGAAGTAAATGGCAACCTCTCTCCTTGACATCTGCAGGCTTTAGATAAAGCTGTGAGATGCTGGGCAGTGGTGGTAGAAGAGAGGTAGCAGGAGAAGTCTTGTCTGCTTTAAGATTGAGAGCCGAGGGATGGCTTTCAATTAATTTCTTGTGCATCTTCCTCCGTCCTAACTTTGTGTCTCGAGTGTGGATTGAAGTGTGTACAGAAGAGCCATCGCTTAATCCCTCGCCTTTCAGAACCTGAGAGGTTCTGAAAGCAGTTCACCTGTCCCCAGCTGGAGGCTGGCTTGCTCTCCAGTTGGCATTGCATTAATATTAGCATTCACACAGCCCAGATGGGGACTGGTTTTCCTTCGTCTGCTACTTTCTCCAACTGGTTAATAATAGGTAAAAGCAAAAAGTGTCCATCTATGGCTGTGTGGCAGGTCTGGAGAGCTCCCCCAGCCCATCTGTACGTTTGATGTCAAGATGGCAGGCAGCATTATTGTTTGGCCAAATGTATGCAGAGATATCACGGCTTAGATTTGTTACAGATGGGTTTCTGGATATAGTGGAAGGCATTCTGCCAGCCTGTTTTATATCTGTGTAAAAGTGATTGGCATCCCTATAAATAAAGCTGCTGTGGGGTTATAAATCTAAATATACTTATTCATTAAATTATTTTTACATCTCAAATAGGTTCACATTCTGTTTGTCTGTGAGCAATGTGTGCATGTAACATGTGTGTTATCCACAGCATCACAATAAATGATCAAAAAAGCAGCACTGGAGGCTGTGAACAATTTTTTTTTTGCCTTGCAAATGTATGTCCATGTTTTTCTGTGCTGTAGTGGGATGAAGGACCCTCTCTGAGGCAGTCGTCCTGGGGGAAGGAACTGGACTCAGAAGTGATAATGAATGTCAATATGGGAATGTCAGCTTTTTCTTTTTAGGCTCACAGATGAGTATGATTTTGTTGGGGTGCTCCGACCCTAAGGACAAGCAGGTATATTTCTCTGGTTTGTTTGGGAAGGAATCCCTACCAGTACCTCCATCCATATCCTTGGATGGGGAGTCTCACAAGACTTTCTCCCCTCTGTGCCATGGATAAGGGGATCTTTCCACCACATCTAACCTTCCCTGCTGTCACCTCAGCTGCAGGAGCATGGAAGAAAAGTCCCCCAGATTTGCTCTAAGTGCTGTCGTGAGCTGGAGGAAGTGATGAGGTGCAGAGTCAGAGGGACAGCCCCGCCAGGCCTCACCATCCAGCTTGATCTCTGAAAGCACTCTAAGCTGCAGCCTTCAATTCCTTTGGGCTTGTTTTTCTTCTCTTTCCAAAGCATTAGAACGTTTGATCAGTTATTAAGCACGGAGCACATGTGTCCGAGAGGCAGAATATCAGCTGTCTTGCTTTTCACAGTAATAATGTGCATCTTTTAAAGTTAACCTGTGGTTTTTAGCAGTTTCCTAATGAAAGGAAGCCTTGATGTCGCTCTGTACATCTGCGCCTCCTCCTCCTCCAGTGACAATTCATTAATTCCACCGGCTGATTTTGTCCTCTCTTCCAGATTGATTTTCATCTCCAGTATGGGGAACTGCTACAAGTTTTGTCAAAACAGGCATCGTGTTAGAAGGCTGTTGTGGAGGTTTCTATTAAGGGAAGGGATGCAATGCAAACTCAGACTGTACTAGGCGCCAGGGAACAAGCA